CCCCCTGGATTGTACCAGCACCCCAGGGGGCGGTACTGCCTACTTTAACATCAGCTGCCATTCAAGGTTGGGAATTCAGTGGATGGTGGATGGTGTAATTCAGCCACTGACAGTGAGCTGTGGGTTTGGTTCTCCGCGGGACCCTCAGTCACTGTGCAAAGGAGGTTTTCTCTCCAGGCACCAGGGGCAACTCCCAGGTCTTGTGTGCGGCCCTGGAGCTGGGCCTCCGGAGCCCTGAACGCCTCCCTCCCGTTCCTTCACCACATTGTCAGCAAGAACAGGACCGACCACCCACCCTCCTGTTCCTCTCATCCTGGCAGAATTGTGGGGAAGCATCACTTTGGCACTCACCCAGAGCCTCGTTTCCCACCAAGAGTTGAAGTATTGATGGTGATCGTTTGTTGTTTCTGTTGCTGCTGCGGCCCATGGATTACCGGTGTCCTCGTCACTCCAGGCAGCAGAGATCAGCGGTGCCTAACTTGAGAGGCTGCGTCAGGAAACTCATCTTTATTATTGTGTTTCAATAGAACCGCGCTTCTCAACCTGTGGGTTGTGACCCCTTTGGGGGGTCAAACGACCCTTTCACAGGGGTCGCCTGATTCATGCCAGTAGCAAAATGATGTGATGAAGTAGCAACGAAAATGATTTTATGTTTGGGGGGTCACCCACCACATGAGGACCTGCATGACAGGGTCACGGCCCGAGGAAGGTGGAGAACCCCTGCTCTAGAACCACTCTCGGCACAAATATCTTCAGCTGTGTGCTTTAGAGGAGCAAAACCAGTGAGGCATATCAATCAGTCGATAGATAAATTGACTAACAGATGATTGATAGATAAATAGATGATTGATCGATAAATAGATCAGTTTGAAGAGATGACTCACATAGTTGTGGAGGCTGGGAAGCCATAAATGAGTGGGTCAGCCACCAGACCGAGGCTTCTCCTGACTCACACGGTTGCAGGGCTGATGAACTCTGAGAGCCAGGTCCGTCCAACAGCCAACCACTGGCTCCCATCCCAAGAGCCGAAGCCAGAGGGTGGTGCATTGCGTCTGGGCTCAGGAGAGGGCAGGCATTGCCAGGACGAAATGCATGGAGGCACCTTCCCCACAAGGAAACACACGCCCTTCAGCGGGTTCACAAAGCGCTGACATCACTGCAGCCGACCTCCGGGATCCTGGCCCAGCCAAGTTGACACATCACCGTAACCATCACAGCTGGGAGAACGTGGAGGAATGTGTTTAATGGAGCATGGTGGGTGGGTTTTATGTCAGCCAGAGAGTGGAACTGGCTTGGCCTGCCTGACTAGCTGCATTTAAATCAGGGATCAGCAGGCCAACAGGTTTGACAACTTAGAATACATGGAGGAAGTCCTTGCAGGGGGAAAATAAAACCAACCGACAGATGACAACGATAATATAGCACACCGGAACTGACATGAGATGAGGCAGAAAGCCTGAATCGTCCTGTATCCATAGAAGCCTTGCCCCAAAGAAAGCCCCAGGCCCCAGGGGTTTTGTTGGTGAATCCCATCCAACGCTCAAGGGAGAAGAGAGGACAATCTTGCACGCGCTCTTCCAGAAAATCATTTGTGTGCGTGGTAGTTCGTGCGTGGCTCAGAGTCAGAAAGATCTGGGTTCAGATACAGATCTATTGAGTTCTCGGTGGCCATTTCCAAGCACCTACTAAGCATGCAGTGGCTGTCCCAGTGGGCTCTAGCCTGACAGCAACTGTGCGACCGGGCAGCATTTAGCTCTGTGGTTCACAGGGTCTCGGTGCGTCCGCACGGACTTGAGGGCACCTAACTAACGAGCATGACAAACTTGGGAAGGGCCCTGGGTGGCACCAGGGGTTGTGATTGGCTGAGAACCTAAAGGTTGTCCTCTGAGACCCACCCGGAGGTGAGCAGTGGGAAGGTCTGCCGGCGGTCTCCTTGCTGCTTCCCTCCAAGAACACCCATAGAACAGCCCGGCTCTGTGTTCTAATACTCACCGGGTCTCCGCAGGTCAGATCCGACCCCTGGAGACGGACGTGTTTGGTTTCCTGTGTGCCAGGCATGCCTGGCACTAAAGTTCACATTCTCGAAGGGAACAGACGCTGACCTGGGCGACGCCGGCGTGGGTGTGCGGTAGGACAGCAGTGGCCCTCCCGGCTCCCGGGAGTGGCCAGACCCGAGAGTGATGGTGCAGGGAGCGGGAGAGGCTGCCGGCGATGACCACTGATGCCTTTCTCTCTGTCGTGTGTGTACGTGTGTGTATGTTCTCCACGCCCGCCGCTCGCTCAGGCTTTAAAATGTGTGTCAGCAGCAGCAGCAGCAGCCAAGACGAGGCCTCCCCCGTCCTGGGCGACAAGAACCTGACCGTCCCCAACATCATCGTCACCCCCCCGACCCCCACGAGCATGACGCTGCCCAGAGACAAGCGGCAGACAGGTGAGGTCCCCCCGCCACGCCAACCCAGCTCAGGAAAAGAGCCACACACGGCTCCCGGGGGCCACCTAGACTTGGCCCCAGCCCCAGCAAGATGTAGCGTGTCTCTCCATTAGTTTGACAGGCCCTGTCGGCAGCCGGGAGCCATGATGGATGGGGCTGGGCTGGCCTGCCGCCCCGTGCCCCCCGCCAGCCCAGGTAATTGATGGAGATGCCCACGCCTGCCAGCTGGTTGGACCAGTGCTCCAAGTTATTGTCCACGCTGGTTCCGGCTAGCTGGGACAGGTTTGGGGACACAGCCCATGCCCCGACTGGGGCTGAACAGGGGACCTCTGGGAGGAGTTACTCCCAGGAGGAGGCACAGGCCCAAGCTGATGGCCCCACCTGCTCCTTTGTGGCTACTGCCACAGTCTGTGTGGACACTGCTTATTGAACAGAAGGAAAATGTACGGGCCTGGCCAGGGCCAGGCGCTGGGCTGCTCTGGGCTGGTCACAGTGGGCAGAAGTGTGCCAAGGGCCACGAATGCTTGTTTGTGCTCCAGCACTCACCCCCGTGGAAGAGATGTGCACACCGGGGCTCCACGAGCAGCTGCGGGCTGCCTGCCCCGGGGCGTTGCGATGGTGGCCCTGCCCAGCGCAGGGCACCGAGGGCAGAAAGAAAGGCTGAGTGGGCCCCATCCCGATTCTTTAGCCAGAGCCGGGCAGAGGGGTACCTGGGAAGTTCCCACGAGACCCAGGGTCACTTGGGGCCAGCCCTTCAGCACCCAGTGAGTCCCCTGCCCAGATGTGGGGGAGCTCAGGGCAACAAGCGGCGGCCGGGGGCCCCAGTGTGGTGGGTTGGTGGACGACGCGCCTCTCTTTTGCAGTCTGCCTAGACGAGGTGGTATCGTGGTCAGACGACGGCGAAGCAGAGCCAGATGCCTAAGGAGGGGCTGCAGGGGGACGTCTGGGCTCCTGCTCAGGTCGTCCTGCTCCAGAGGCCCGCCTGGGACGCCGTGCCGGGTCTACACACATGTACACACACGCATACACACTCGTGTGCATGCATGGACGCTGCACGGGGACTCGGAGACAGCCGTGCGACAGGACGCTTGCTGAACATCCGAGGCTTCCTCATGGTGCCCGCCTCTGACGCCCGATTGCCTGCTGGCCTGCCATGGGGAAGACGGACTGACCTGTCCTCGGGGCCTAGGACACCGGTCAGAGCCCTGGTTCTGAGACACACCCGCAGTGTATTCCGTCTTCACTCGGCATCCGTGGGCACCAGAGCTGCTTGCCGGCAAAGCCGTTGGATTTTTTTTACCACTTGTTTTACAGATGTCGAAACATGGTTTTTCATTTCTTTTTTGCATATAAATAAAGGTCCTCTCTAACGAGCCATGTGTCTTGTGCCTGGGCGGGAGTAACGCTTGAGACACTCACCGCCAGGTCAGCAGTTCGAAACCACCAGCTGCTCCGAGAGAGAGAGATGAGACTTCCTACTCCCATAAAGAGCTGCACTCTCAGAAACCCAGGGGGGCACTTCCACCCTGTCCTGTAGGGTCGCCGTGAGTCGGCCTCACGACGGCCGAGTTTGGTTCGGCTTAGTTTAAGACAGAGAAGCCCAATGGGCGTGTGATGGGGCTGCAGGGGGTCAGTTTTCGGGCTAGCCAGAGGGGGGCTCTCAGCGAGGCCTGAGGTCAGCTGGGCTTGGTGAGAGTCCCAGCCTCGCCCCGCATTAGGCTGTGGCATTGGTGAGAGTCCCAGCCTCGCCCCGCATTAGGCTGTGGCACCCTGTTCCATGGAATGGGGGTGATAGCCTTGCCGGGGGTGGGGTGGTGGAGGTGACGGTGGCAGCAGTGCTGTTTTGCAAATGATATTATAGTATTGGTGTCCCCTTTCCCTGGGCTTGGCCTGGTTTTTTTAGGTTCATTTTCTCTGTGTGGCTCAAGCTTCCCACCGTCTCCTCGGCTCCCCGAGAAGCAGAGCTTGAGGTAAGGATTGAGTGCCAGGCACTTATTGGGGTGAGCGGGTACCACCGGGAGGAATGCGGAGGGAAGAGATTCCCCCCATGAAGGGGACTGGAGCCAGTTACCCCTGTGGGCCCCTAGACTGAGGTTCTCCTGGGGATGGGCATGGTCTCCACCCTCCGCCTCCCATCCACTGGCTGAAGCAGCATCCAGAACTGTTGCAGAAGGAGGCGGGAGTGCCAGGGGACTCAGGGCCCCACAGCCAGAGCAGACTCTCAGGCCACGCACGGTGGGCTCCATGCTCTGCCTTTGCCGCCATCGTGAGATTCTTCACCGTGTGCCGGGCCCCACCCATCATCCACCGGTTCTCTGGCCACACACGCACACCCCGAGAGTGGAGCTCTCCTCCCGACGCCCACCCCGGCCCCCCTCAAAGTGTCATCCTTGCTGGTCCTCAGACGACCTGGTCTGCAGCCAGGAAGGCATGGCTGCTTTGGACCGGCCTTTGTGGGGCAATAGCTGCAGTCCACGCTGCCTCGAGTCCCCGAGTTCTGTGGGTGACGGGTGTGGTCTCCTCGTGGTCGCTGCCACGGACCAGGCTGTGTCTGCCCTGCAGCTGCTGTGACACTGCCTGGCTCCGTTGACCAAGCCGGTCCTGGCCAAGCCTGCTGGGGAGTCAGGTGGCCCAGCGGGAGGCAGTGACTGTCTTGCAAAGGAGAGAGGGACTCTCCCCCAGGTGAGCACCAATACTGACCATGCTTTACGAGGGGATGGCGGTGGGGGTGGGGGCTGTGAGACCTGGAGGTGACCGAAGGTTCAGAGATGGGATCGGAACCTAGAACCCACAATCTTAACCACCCACAGCAGGCTACTTCTGGCCCAGAAGCCACCCAGGAACTTCTTCCTCAAAGTAGGACTTGACCCTTGCTCCCCCTCCAGTCTCACACTCAGTGTCAGGGCCAGAGCTGGCTGCGACCCGGGCTGAGGGCTGCTCCCCTTGCTGGGCCCTGCGCAGAGGCCTGCCTGAGACAGTCCCAGCGGCCTCGCAGCCGTGGTTAATCAGCCTCTCATCCCAAGCTTTTAGTGCCCATGGCAACCGAGGGCAGGGTCAGCCGGGATGCAGGTGGGAGGGGCAGGTGTGTGTGGCTGTGCTGCCCAGGGGGCTGGACACGGCCTAGGCTTCTTTCTTTCAGGGGCTGTGTGCTGCCCCACCTCCCCCAGACCCCCTGCAAGCCTTATCTGGAGAAGTCAGCACTGGGGGCCCCTGACGGTACCTGCTGAGTAAGGGAGAGGGGCCCTTTCCGTGGGAGTCTGTACCCCAAGCTGCAGGTAACTCCACCTGGTCCCTAGTTCCCATCCTCAAAGGGGCCTCTTTGTCTTCAAGCAAGTTCTGCTTTCCTTTGTCAGGCAGGGGGCAGGTGGAGGGACCCGCTCAGTGGGAGCTGAAGGTGGGACAGGACTCCCCATCACCACTACCACCCACGGCCCCTCTCTGTTCGTCCAGGGAGAGGAAACGGAGGTGGGAGTTAGGTACAAGCAAGGGGTTTTGGTGCCATCCAGATACCCACTGTGCTGTGTGACCTTGGGCAAGTCACTCAACCTCTCTGAGCTTCCGTTTCCTCACCTGTGAACATGGACGCTAACAGTGCCTTCCTCATGGGGGTGGGGGGCATGGAAGGACTCGGTGAGGAAAGAGGAAACTGTCAACAAACGGCAGCTGGCAAGGCAGGCCCCTCTGAGCCTCTGTTTACTCTTCTGGGAAATGGGGGTGCTGCCGGGAGTGCCCAAATCCTTTATGTCGGTGACAGGTGGGGTAGATGGTCAGAGGGTCTGGAGCAGACCCCAGGGGGTCCTATGAGAGTGAAAGGGTCTGAAAGGGCAGCTACAGACCCACAGAGAGACCTTTACAACAAACGTCCTACAGACCCACAGAGAGACCTTTACAACAGACGTCAACGCAAGAAGTCACCTTTCCGAGCTAGTCCCCATCTCACTCCGTCCACTTCGGAAGGCGCCCTGTCCAGCTCTCTACCGTCCCCTCGCTCTGATTCACACCGTGTCACATGTCCTCGGGATATTCAAACCATGTCCCCTTGGCATGCTCTTTGAGGAACAAGGCCACGTGCTGAAGGGGAGGGTGGGGTAAGCCTTCCCTGTGGTGAAGTTTTCTTGGGATGGCCCTTACCACCAGGGATGCATGAGCACGTACCTTGTTGCAATTGGGGAAAAAGATTCCTCCGCCCGCAACTTGCCTGCTTTTATTCTCACCCCAGAGGGTCTCTGCTCTCTTAAAACTTGTTCCTAATCCGCCCAGGATCGGGAGCAAGGAAGTTGGCCATTATCCACTAATGCCATCGCAGTGCACGAGGTAACTCAGCTGCACAAGACCTCTTGAGAGTGTTGAGAAGCAGGGTGCTACTTTGAGGACTAAGGTGCACCGGACCCAAGCCATGCTATCTTCCACCGCCTCATCTGCTTATGCAAGTTGGACCCCGCAGAAGAAAGATGGAAGGAGAAAGGATGCATGTGAATGGTGGTGCTGAAGAAGAATATTGAAAGTCCCATGGCCCAAAGAACAAAGCGTCTGTCCTGGAAGAAGTGCAGCCAGTGTTCCTTCGAGGCCAGGATGGCAAGGCGCTGTGTACTGTGGACATGTCGTCAGGAGAGGGCAGTCACTGGAGAAGAACACCATGTCATGCGAAAAAGAGGACGTCCCTGGACAAAATGGACGGGCACAGTGGCTGCAACAGTGGGCTCAAACGTGGCAACAATGTTGCGGATGGCGGATAAAACCCACCACAACAGCTCCCCTCCACCCCAAACAGCCCACAGTCGTGGAGTCGATCCTGACTCGACCCCACAGGACAAAGGGGAAGTGCCCCTGTGGGTTTCTGAGACTGCAAGTCTTTTCGGGAGTAGACAGCCTCCTCTTTCTCCCCATTGCACTCCCAGGGACTTACTACAAATAAAGGGATGCTACAAAAGTGCCCTGGTGGCATAATGGTTATGCATTGGGCTGCTGACCCACAAGGCCAGCAGTTCAAACCCACTGGGAGAAAGAAGGGTCATTTGATTCATGTAACATGTTACAGTCTTGGAAACCCACAGGGGCAATTCTACCCTGCCCTAAAGGGCTGCTAGGAGTGGGCATTGACTCGAGAGCCCTGAGCTTGTTTTATTTTATTTTATTTTTTACAGAGGAGCCTTGGTAGTGCACCCGGGCAAGCATTGGGTGCTAACCAAAAGGTCAGCGGTTCGAACCCACCAGCCACTCCCAGGGAAGAAGAAGAGGCACTTTGCTCTCCAGGAAAGATCGACAGCCCCAGAGGCCCTCTGGGGGAAGTTCTGGGTTGGAATCAGGTCAAAGGCCCCAGTTTGTTTTTCTCCCAAGGTGGTGGTGGGTGCACCTTGGGGGCTGGCCAAGGACATTGTCCTGAGGCTTATTATAGAGTCTACCCTTCCTTGCATGGCATCTTAGGGGTATGGTTACTAATGTCTGAAGTTTATTTCTCACTTATTTTTAATCATTTTATTAGGGGCTCATACAACTCTTATCCCAATCCATACATGCATCAATTGTGTAAAGCACATTTGTACATTCATTGCCGTCATCATTCTCAAAACATTTCCTCTCCACTTAAGCCCCCGGCATCAGGTCTCATTTTACCCCTCCCCTCTCCCCCCTCCCTTGATAATTTATAAATTATTATTTTGTCATATTTTGCCCTGTCCGACATCTCCCTTCACCCACTTTTTTGTTGTCTATCCCCCAGGGAGGAG